ATATTTGAAAGTATAAATTTTCAATATACTTAAGATACTGTAACACTCACTTACAAAAAACGTTATTCACATTGCAGTAAAGAATTTCATTATAAAATTTATTTATTTCAGTAATTTTTTTTATGTGCTGTAAAAAAAATGTTTTATTCTTTTAATGTTGGTCAAAAAATGAAATCTACTGTGTATACAGTGTGTGTAGCCAGATTTTTCAAGAAAAATAAGCACCTTTTAAGTACTTTTTAAGCACTCAAAAATATTTTTAATCACTTTCCAAAAAAAAATTATAATTAGGATCTGTGCAGTAACAAAAAAAAAAAAATTCTATCATTTAAAGTTCTTAATTTATAAACATAAAATCAATAAGTTCAAAAATATTTTCAAAAACTTTACATAATCATGATAAAATAACCAGTTTCTGATAAATGTTGGTAAACATGGTAAAGAAAAAATCTCTTTTTAAAAGATGGAAAATTAAGCACTTTTATGAACCCCAAATAAAAAGAGCACCTTTAAGGGCTTTTAAAAAACACAAATCAAAAATAAGCACCTTTAAGCACTTTTTAAAAATGCTATGCACCCTGGTATAGTATATTTCTTTAGTGCACTCCTTCAGATATTTTTGACATGAAGGACTAAAACCACCTACCAAGGATCACATTTTCAAACAACTTTTTCTGTTTCAAATAATGCCCTTAATTCAAAAGAACCATTTAAAAAGTGCCCAGATGGTGTAAAAAAAATATTCTAGGAGATTAAGTTTCTCTTACTTTAAAGTTGTTACAATTTGGAGAATTTTAATGCAAATGCAGTTAGAAACAAAAGTTGAAATAACACCCCTACATGTAATTTTTAAAAGAAAAGAAAAATATAACATAAAATATTGAAATTTTAAAAATTTGCCCCTACACAGCAGGTTGGTTGCTATGTAAATTGCTATTTCCAACTCAATGCAGATGATAACTAATATCTTACTTTAGACATTATTTAAGGGATCACAGTACCCAAAAAATGACAAAAATACCAAAAAAATTTTTATTGCTTATAATAAAACTTCAAACTATTTCAAATGTACAGAAAAAAATTCATCTCTCTATCTACATTTTTATAAAAGTTATGAATGATTTTAAATTGTTCTAATACAGAAACTTGCTCAGCAGTCTGACTTCAAAGTGCTTTTTCGCATAGATGATAATTTTGTGTCTTAATCTTAATTAAATCCCTAAGGAATTTTTTCTATTTAAGATAAAGCTTTGAAGTAAACTTTTTTATCTAGAGTATAATACTCTTATTTAGACTGTGCATGGAATAAGCATTTTATGAGGTATTACAACTTTTACGGCATGTTATATATACCTAACAGGAGTTTTCACCCTTTTTTTTCTACTTTTTTATAAAATAATCTATACAAAATATTCTAATTGATATATCAACAAATGAATGCACAAAATTGTTAAGATAAATATTGCAAGCACTATGAAAAAAACTTTTTTTGAAAATATGTTAAAATAAAAAAGCCTTAGGGATTTAAAAATTTAGAATTTTTTCAACTTTTTTTAAAATTT